TTGTTTTCTGTTCTCTTTCTGTTGTACCCGATCTCCCTCTGACTCTACTGACTCTACGCTGAAGATCTGAGTATTTTAATTCTCATTCTCATTATAATTTTCATGTTCGCTTTCTTGTTATTGGGTTCTATGCCCGTTTGAATTTGCGAATCAAAATAAATACAAACAAACAAACAACAAACTACTGTTACTTGTTTTGTCTGACTGGGTGACCATGGTGACATGCATGAATGGCTCTAGTGACGTCTAGGGTCCAATACGGCAGTACTGGATGTGGAAAGAGGAACCTTTTCCATGCCTGTTCTCATGTAAAATCGCACCGATTTTGGGATTTCCCCGCAACTTTTTGCTTCACTAGCCTTCAGCAATAATGCTGTGCTTGACCGCATTCCTGTCACTTCGCAGTGGCTTTTCGTTGGCGCAGTTTGTATCCCACCATCCCACCCTGACTTCTGGGTGTGTGTTTATCGATACATATTGGCTTTCTTATTGGCCATTTGGCTGTGGCAGTTACGACTGCTTTACTTTTTTAGTTCAAAAACGTAGGGGTGGTGTGTGCGACTGTGCGTCGTGGGCCTTTGTATGGTTACATACAGCTTCGATTGTCCGCAGATTGAGCAGCTTCGGATTGTATGGCTAGTGGCAGGGGAGTTGAATCTGCATAGGAAGAATACAGTGATTGAACTGAAGCTGGATGATGACCGTGTGGTGAGTGTGTGGGGGGTTCGAGATACATGTACCGTGGCCTGGGGCAGGGATGTACATGTACATGACATTGTAATTTGTAGATGTAGGTTAGGCACCGGCGAATAATGCCGGTAGAAAAATTGGCAGAATTCGGTACTTTTCTGGTAAGTTTCATGCATGTTTGGTATGTGGATAAAGAAATGGAGCAGAATTCGATGAATTGCCCGCCATAAGGTTTGTACATGCATGGTTCTGCCAATTTCACTGCTTTTCGAGCAGAATCCGCCGGTGCCTAACGTAGGTCCTTTAGCTTGGACAGGTGTTGTTACATTCATAGTAACATCCTGCCGTTTTCTGTGTGTTTTGCTGTTCGACTAGCAGCAGTATCTTGTGCTTATATTAAAATAATAATCTTATCTCTATGGATACAATTATTGAAGAAAGAAAGAAAAAATCAGGAAGAGGATATAATAATGTAAACAGTTTCCTCTGAGACAAAAAAGGGATAATACTCATAAAAGGGACACACTTCAGGCTCTTTACAAACATCTTGAAAGTTTTTGGTTTCACAAGTATACTTTCAAGCCTTCTCATCAGGTGAAATACAGGCAAAGGAAAAGGAACAGGAACAGTGGATTAAGTACAGTAAGGAGGTGGTAAAACAGCGCAAAGAAGAAGATAACTAAAGTAAACAGCGAAAATGCGTGACCTATACACATAGCAATAATGACACAAAGGACTTAGGTACAGGTGCGAGAAAACTCAATAAGCGTGACATGTAGTGCGACAACAAGAGACAACCACTGGACATAACTAAGGAGGTTTTGACGACTTACCTAACAGCCTAAAAAAAAAAAAAAAAAAATTTCACGGTTCGCGTGAGACTCGGCCAAAGGCCCAGTTTTCCGCATCCGCAGGAACGCCACCACCCTCTTGGATCAAGGCGCAGATGCAGCTCCTAAACGGTGGGAGGTGAGTAGATCAGACCCACCACAAAGTGGTCAAAGACCGAAATCCCATTCACTGCATCCATGTTTCCCTCGTGCCAGGCCACGAGTTCCCAATTAACTGTGGGTCGCAGCACGGCTGGAAAAAATCCTTCCGCTTCCAAGCAGGACTTGAACCTGGTACCCTCTGGTACCCTCTGGTAACAGCCTAAGTGCTAAGTGTGAATATAATTTGCTTCTGCTTGCAAAGGTTGGGTTTCTTTGTGTGGATGCATACGGCTTCCAAAACATTCAGCAATCTAGCACTGCGTACACGAGCAGAAGCAAATTATATTCACACTTAGGCTGTTAGGTAGGGGTCGTCAAAACCTCCTTGTGTGGATGCATACGGCTTCCAAAAAATTCAGCAATCTAGCACTGCGTATACGATGAGAAGGCTTGAAATTATACATGTGAAACCAAACACTTTCCAGATGTTCGTAAAGAGCCTGAAGTGTGTCCTTTTTATGAGTATTATAGGATATAATATCAATAAATAAAGCCATCTCCGAGCCACCGTGCTCACAGCAGAGACTTCTGTGTGTGTTACTGTTGTGAAAGTGGACCACAAAGAAGTACTTACAGCAGGCCTGCAACTTTACATGCAGTTGTAGGATCACCGAGGTTATTATGAATATCGATCTACTGTGAGCTTCAGTAGAACGTTCTTCCAAGTCATGCTCTGGTCGGTGTGCTGTTGTTGTACTTGCCTCATGGTTTGGTCGAAATGACCTTTTCTTTCTAGCTGCTCGTAGTATTACTTGTGCTGGTGCAGGATCGAGCTGCTTCCCAAGGCAAGTGTGTTCACGTGCTGCTTCTCCTGCTCCTGCTCCTGCTGCTGCCACCACCTCCACCACCTTGGCATGACATGTGTCTGCAACACCGCGACTCGATCAGTGACACTTGGAACATTGTTCAGCAAATGGCTCTGCACGTTCTCCTCGGCCGATCGGACTATCTGTTATGGGGATCTTAGCCCTGGACAGAAAGTAATGCAAGGACGTCTTCAATACAGATCAATTTGATTGCATCCCGTGCCTATAAACTATACATGAACATGTACATGAGTGTTTTTTTTGTTTTTGTTTTTACTATTGGAAACATGTGGAGAACAAAAAGAAACGAGGAAAAGGACAAACCATAGGGGATGTCGGTATAGACTAAAACTGAGTAATGTGTCGTATCGAGGTGAACGAGAGACAGTCTTACCTCATCACTGAAGCAGCACCAGTACCGGCAAGTGTTAGAAATTGAGATACTTGTACATCAGTGACATGACTGTATGGGACGACGACTTTTTGTGCCTTCATCTACCTACAAAATACACTGTACGTGGTGCGGTTCTGGCGCCTCGAGTCTCTGTCTGGGGACTAATTACACGCAAAGAGTGACGCCACTGGCGGGTCCATGTGTGGCATTTTCCCATGTATGACACGGAGTAAGCGGTCTAAGATGAGTGCAGGTCCACCATCCAGTGTAGATCCTGGGGTTGCGGTAATGATTTGCACTCATGATGCAGTCATATCCGTCAATGGCCCTCGTCTGATCTGCTTGCCCTAAGCTATGCGAAAACCGTATTTGATAAGTGTAAGGCCACACGTGAGGATCTACCGGTAGCCTTCTAGGTGATCAGACCCACCTTAAACACATGTACGTGTACATGACATTGTATGTCCACGCATCTAAGGCTAAGGCTAAAGACGTTTTTAGGCAAAAAGGCTAAAACCGGCATTGTGCAGTGCACGGTTTTCTACTGGGAAACACACGCAGTGCTCAGACTCAGTGGAGGAGGAAAATGGTGGTGGGACGCCCAGGATTTAGCCGACCATTACGTAGAGTGTAGATCGCCGATCGGCTTCATTTCAAGCAATCAATAGTATTGCGTCGAACAACTCCACTACGCACAAGGGCAAATAGTGCCAATGAAGGGAGGTGGCGAAATACTAGTGTGCAGTGGTCATCAAATGCTAGGTTGTGGTAGATCTGGCACGCCCTCCCAACGAGGTCACGTCAGCAAACCTCTAGTGCATTATGTACAATGTACAGTGGATGTCATCTTCATTGGTATCCAGGTTACACACACACACACACACACACACACACACACACACACACACACACACACACACACACATGCAGACACACGCAAACACATACGCGCACACATACGCCCGAACGCACACACGAACGCACAAAAGTTGAAAACGTGGATCAACACAATCGTTGGACGGCATTGTACACGCCCGAAGGAAGCACCATTACATCTTCCGCAAATTGACCGCAATGCTGTTCAATACTGTGTAGTAGAGGCTCTACGGGTAACGCGTTAACATGCACCAACATCATTATCATGCATGGCCCTGATTCCTCTGTTCAGAGCTAAAATGTAATATTTATAATAGTATCATCAATGCATGCATGGGCATAACACCTGATTCCGGAGGGGGGGGGGGTCAACCAGTGACAACCACAGAGGACGTTTCCTGCGCATGTTGCTTCACGAGTTAAGTTGGAGCACGCTTTCAGGTGAGCTCACGGATGGGAAGCCCGTTCCCTCCACACTTCCTCGTGTTCGGCAGAGCTACATACATGGATACAGTGTTGCTGTTTCCAACCAACCACGTATCGTGTGCATGCACTCATTTCACCTGTCAAATTATCGGCCTTTCCTCGCGCATTCAGCATGCTGCCATATCGAGGTGGCCAGGTTTTGGCGTTGAAAGATCGTTCGAGGCTACCTCCTGGACACAGGGCACCACTGGGGTGCTGTGCGCACTCTCTGCCCATTTTAGGGACCGGCGGATTCTGCTCGAAAAGGTGGCAGATTCTGCTCGAAAAGCAGTAAAATTGGCAGAACCATACAAACCTTATGGCGGGCAATTCATCGAATTCTGCTTCATTTCTTTATCCACATACCAAACATGCATGAAACTTACCAGAAAAAGTACCGAATTCTGCCAATTTTTCTGCGGCAGAATCCGCTGGATCCTACTGCCCATGTCAAGCGCCCATCTTTCCCCGGCCCAATGGCACGTGTCTGCGGTAAGTTGTTGACATCTGGAATCGTCCAGGGAGTGTGAAATGACAAGTGCGCGCAGACCGATCGGACTGACTGACTCAGTGACTGCCATGCAACAGGTGCATGTCAACGCAATATCACGTATCTTCTGGAAAGCGCACGATTGCTGCGGCCCATCAACTCGTTCGACCTGACCTCCTCCAAATGCATCGCCGTATCAGACAGCAACCTACCAGCGCACCCATCCAGCCAGGTGACATGCTCGAAGAAGCGCACCGGATCGTGGTATTCATCTGTCCACACGGCCTGGCATGAACGCCAAGAATTTCTGCACGTTTGAGCAAGGAAGAACCATGAGCCTAGACTCCATGCACAGACACAGGCGCAAACTTTGCTCAGCTACTACACGGCGCACACAGGTCGATGGTGTCTGCTGGTGATGGGAATCACAGGCGCAGTCAGGAAGAAAACCTAGATGAAGAGAAGCGCCTTGGTTTACTATGACCAATGCCCGCCGGTCTGGGCAAAGGGAAGAGGCTCGAAAAAGATCCACAGAGGATCAGCCCGCAGACAAGACGGCTCGCAGAGACACGGACATGGCACCTTCCAGGGACTCGCCCAGTCCACCGAGAGGCGTGAGTACTAGTAGATCGTCGACCAATTCCAGCATTCGAGGGGCCGGTGCAGCCACAGATGATCCGTCGCGTAAGGACTCAAGCGGCACGATGACGGCCGACCAGATGGGCATTGATCCCCTGCCGGACAACGTTGCGAGACCAAGCCGCGAGGAGATCTTTTCTTTCCCCCATTCAAAACGCGTGGGTAGCTATATCCTTGGAAAAACACTCGGTGAAGGTGCGTTCGCCAAGGTCAAGGAGGGTCGGCACATCCTCACCGGTGAAAAGGTTAGTGAAATATCACTTATCATACCCCTGTCATTCTGGGACAGTGCCTAATGTAGAGATGTACTTGTTTTCCACCAAGAGATGTTATCAGATCAAGGGATGGTAAACTGACTCCGATAATTTGTATAACGTCGAGATATAGATCGTAAGGCAACCTAGATAATCTATGTATGATATAATGTGTTACCTCAAATACAACCCTTCCAATCAAGGAAAGGAGAAAGGGAGAGAGGGAAGACAACTAACGCCAGTAATGGTAGGGACCACACAAGGTGGCAGTGCCAGTGATTACTTGTGAGACGCCCATTATGAAATGGGAACGTCGGATACGGATGTTGTGTCGGCGTGCCGGAGGGCTCTTTCCGTAATGACAGTAACAGCTTCAAACTAACGAATGCCGGACTGTAACACGCAGCGTAGATCTACCGACGGTGAGCGTTGCGGATCCAGAAGCCAGGGTTTGTTGATCCCAGTGAAGCTATCACATCTTGAATTTCAGCTCGTGGTTAGCTGCACCAATTGAATTTGTGCGACTGTTCTGTGCAGGTCGCCGTCAAAGTAATCGACAAAAAGAAGGCGAGAGAAGATTCGTACGTGGCCAAAAACATGCGGCGAGAAGCGAAGCTCATGATGATGGTGCTGCATCCGAACATCCTCAAGCTGCTGGAAGTCGTCGAGACGGAAAACAGCTACTACCTTGTCACCGAGATGGCGGAGGGAGGCGATTTGATGGACAGGATTTGCAAGAAGTCGTATTTGCCAGAAGACGAGGTGCGCATCTTCATCAGGCAGATAGTCTCTGCAGTGGACTACTTACATCGAGCAAATATCGTACACAGGTAAGAGAAATTCGGAGAGCTTGTTCAGGCCCATTTGCTGAATTTTTGACAATGGCACATCGCTCGTTGCTGAATTTCAAAGCCACTTCTCTTATTGGTCCATCTATAAAGCATCACGGCGTATTGTGGTAGTTCTGGACAGGGAAATAGCTCACAATAACTTCACCCTGGATCATGATAACATACACCGGGAATATAACTGAGTACTAATATTGATGACTCTACAGTATACCATACCATTCCTTGGCTATAAAATAGAGAATATCACGGCCCTTGGGTTACGTTGTTTACTGTATTGGTGACTCGGAGAGGAGATTTTGTTGGATATTTAGCTCAAGACAATTCCACTCGGACTGACACGTTCCCGCTTCAAATAAGAACGTGCTTGATGCAAGGAACTATGATTCGTGCATTGGCTGTTTATATGTTATGTTAATTTTGACCAAGTCAGCGTGTGGGATAGAGCGATGGGCTAAGCTGATTGATCGCTGATTTTTCTATCTGCCATTCTCCTTCCGCTTGCAGAGACCTGAAGATTGAGAACCTGTTGCTGGATGCAAACTTGAACATAAAGATAATTGGTTAGTCCTATGTCCACTGTGCAGTCGGAATAAGAAAACAATCTTTCACAGCCACACAATACTAAAGTGAATTTCCAGACTTTAGTGGGCAAAAAATGTGGACTAAATATTAATTATAGTTATAGAACACGTAGAAGGAAATACTGTGGTGTGGTTTATTGAATTTCATTGCAAGATATTGCTGGGCAATGTTTGATGTAGCGATAATACTGATTTGGGCATGCATGTGAACTGCTGACTTTTATGGGCTAGGTTATAATAGGGGCGAGATCAGAAAGCAGCTGGGCGGTGTGTGGCATACGGTTGTGGCTGGGTGGTCTGTGCACAGGCATGTGTCATGTCGCGTGATGTGTTGACTGCTCCGGCAACCACACGCTGTCATCGGCTTTTGCAGAGCAACAGACCATGCACTCGCATTGATGTACAGCACGCTGGTGTGCAAAGCTAGTCAGCATAGCTCGTGATTCCACAAAGTAATAAGTTCATCGCAAAGCAGACAGGCTCAGTCCAAGTGTGATCACAGCAAGTGTGTACTGACTGGACAGACTCTTTGACATAAGAGTATACTACATGTGTGACGTATACGTGTACTTGTACATCGTGTGTGTCATGGAATCAGCAAACTGTTGATGAAAAAATGCATACTGTAAGGCATGTTATTATAACGAGTCGCAAATTTAACGATTGTCCAAGATTCATAGGCTAACGAGAAGATATGTTTAACGCCCTTGCAGTATTCCGCCATATCCACACACAACATATATGAAGCAGTATGGCCTCAACGGATCTTATTATAACGAAGAAATGTCACCCGTTAAAACGTTAGATTTACTTCCTCGTTATATTTACATGTCTTACAGTACATGTACCTGTACGGGAGCTGCAAGAAAAAGACATCCCAAGATCAACCACCCAAGATCACCGTGTACAGGACAATGTTGATGAGTGCCTGTCATGAATATTGATACCTGCAACACCTGTTGACGGACTGCAGCCATGGTTTGGCAAACTCGTGAGTGCAGTCACAAGGAATAGTTGTAAACACGTGATTATTTGTGTTCCTGTTTGTGTCCTTTTCCTTCACAGACTTCGGCCTAAGCAACACTCTTGAGCCGACGCGGTCAATGGCGACCCTGACCAATGCTGAGAAGCACTGTCGTACACAATGTGGATCTCCGGCCTATGCCGCACCAGAGCTGTTGGGTCACTCGTCGTATGGGCCCAGTGTGGACGTATGGAGCATGTAAGAGAAAGAAAGACTCGGAGAGAAAGAGAAAGCGAGAGAGAGAGAGAGAGCCTCAGGGGAGAGAGAGTTTCCTGGAATATAGCCAAGTGTCTTTGCTGACATGTCATGACACGAAGTTGCCTGGTCACTCGTGACCTGTAATTGGGTTCCAGGAATGCATGCAGATGCTGGACCTTTTCGACCTTGCCGTTTAAGCTTTCATCAATTTGTGAGGTAGCTGACGGTGGATGACAGAAACAACACGGTGCTACTTTAGTAGGAATATCAATAAGGGCTAACTAAAGTCGATTTGCACTGTGCAACGTGCCAAGTGCACATTAGTTTTCACATGTAAACTTAAAAGATAGTAAAGGAACGCGATAAAGCAGAACTGTGTCTATTCCCCATTCTCACAAGTATGCCTTTGTGTGTGGTGTGTGTGCGTGTGTGTGGTACTTCTTTTGTTCCTTGTTATTCGATGCATATACAGTGGAGTGAACATGTACGCTATGCTGACAGGCTCATTGCCGTACACAGTTGAGCCGTTCAACATCACCGAGCTGCATGCAAAGATGATCAGCAATCGCATGAACCCACTGCCGGACCACATCAAACCCAGTGCGGAGTGCCGGGACCTGCTGCTCAAGCTTCTCAACCCAAATCCGGAGGAGCGCATCTCGCTGTCCGATGTTTTCCACCATCCGTGGCTCAACCGCGACGGGGACGCAGGGTTTGTGCCGACTCCGCATCCCAACTTTCCGACGGAAAGCGAACTGGACGACCGCATCATTCAGCACATGGTGAAAACACTGAGCTGCTCAATGCATGACATCATCCGAGCAATGACATCGAATCGCGCTGTGCATGCCAGCGCATGCTACAAGCTCCTGGCCAGGCGGCTGGAGCGACACGAGATTGCACACCCACCGCGTAAGACGCCCGCACCAAGCACTGCTCAGAAGTCGGAGAGCCTGCCAGCCAAAGGCCACCGCAACCACTCAGTAGTACCCAGCAACCACCACACGGGACATTCGCAAGCACATCACCCCAACCAGGTAATATGATACAGCTAGCGTGAATGTGCGTGTCCTTAGTACTCCACACCATTTTCAACTGAACTTTGGTAGGTGCTGATAAAGTACAGTGCTGGACAAAGAAATTCAACCTCATGAATAAAATGGCGTTGCCGGGCGCTACGCAGCCCTAGCACTACACATACTGGTTTGTGTACTCGAACGCGGCGCTACTTTATTCATGAAGTTGGATTTCTCTGGCCAGCACTGTAGTTAGCAAAGATGTACCCAATAATGCGCAAAGCATACATACATGCACACTACGCCCAAACCTGGCGGAGTATCCAGATTCTAAACTGCGCTATGACTTGATGTATGCTACTTCTCCACTGTGATGTGCCTTGGTCCTAACAGCGAATTCTCTTCCTGTGCACTGCAGCACGAACAAGCTATGCCGGCTAAGGCAAAGCGCTATGAGCGCCCAATGGAGGCCGGCGCATCCCAGCGCCACCGTTCGCTAAGTGAAGGGCATCCCACGGAGATACCTTCCACCACCGCCAGGCCATCAGGGCGTGCCACCGCCGCCGCGGCACCAACACAACCCACACCTGTGGCTACAGCAGCGGCAGCGACACCACGCGTAAACGGCTTGGATCAGCTGCGCACATCGGACGTGGAAGCCAGCGACAGGTGCATGCCGCTTCAAGACGCTGAACCACCGCCGCCGCCAACTGCTCGCCGAAGTTCTGGCCGCCGCTGGTCAGTCAGTGGTGCCGAGAATGCTTTCCATCGGGGCCCACAACCGGGCGGTATGAAACACAGTGTGACGACAGGGCAACTCAAGCCACCCAAAATTGGATCATCCAGAACAAATCCGAGCAGCCCCGGATCACCTGCTGGGAGATTTCCGGAGCCACGCGGTGCACCGTATTTGCCACAGGCGCTGGAGGAAAGTGTTCAGAACGCCTTTTCCAAGCCTCAGAAAACAGACCCTGCCTGGCTAATGGCTGATGCAGACATTGCCGGCATTGGGCCATCGATCCCGGCACGTCCAGATCCTGAAACGAATGAACTTCCATGGCAGAACGGTCACAGGCAAGCACCTGGAAGCCACCGTGCCAAGTCTGGCCCGTCATCTAAGCTCCATCGTGCCAGTTCATTCCGCGATGAGCTGCTCGCTCCTCGGGACAGCAGTGCTGTTGCTGCTGATCACCCGTCACGTCGGCCAGTGAAGCAAAACACACTCTTCTCACAAGCCAACGGCGACCATGATCTCATCTCGGCCCCGAAGCAGTCATCCGGCAACAACAGTCGCAGAAGCAGTGGTGATTCAACATCCACTACACTGCCTGCCATACCACGCAGTATCACATCAGCCGGCAGAACGAGAAAGTCTCATGCTGCAACAAACGGCATTGCAGGAATCAACAGCACAGGTCCAGGTCGACCACACACAACTGCAGTGAACGGACGAAGAGTTAGCGCTGGAAGCAAAATAGTAACAACAGTCGATGGACTGTCTGATCTGCCACCAGATGCCATTATGCATGAAGTTATCCGGGTGTTGCGTAACCTGCGCGTTGATGACTGGAAACCGAGAGGTTTCGAGGCGATCCACTGCAGCATGCATGAAACCGAGTTTGACATCAGCGTAATAGAAGACGGAGGCGTGTGCCGATTGTCCTTTGAGCGTGTGGCAAGCTCTGGCACTCAGATGCGCTTCCGCGAGGCATGTGACCAGATCATTGGAGCACTGCGTGTGAGTGCAGTCATCTGACACGGTGCGCATCGCTAGTGGCCCTGAGCCGGAAAAGTCCTAGCCTGTAAGTCCTGCGGCTTAGCTGGACCAATCAAGCTGTTGAAAACTAACAACACATGCAGACCTTGAGATTATGGCGGTAGATTTGTACAGTAAACGCTGCATGTGCGTCAGCGTTGGTTCTTCGAATACTCACTTCCCCATTCTATGCTATACATGTGATTTTAAATTAATTATTTTTATGCAGAGCACTTGACATGCCCACCAGTAACTGATTGTCCGTGCAGTATTTATCTAGACCGATCCAATAATCAAGCAGATGGCTGACAGAGCACCAAGTCTCTTTACTAAGTTTGCATGTCCGCTGTGTAATCATGAAGTGTCTTGTGTGGATCAAGAGCAGCGGAGAACGCTACTGCATCTAGCGTTTCTCACATCTACCTAACGCTACCTATCCACCCGTCCGTTTGTCTGTTTTCTCCTGTCTGGTCTTGTGCCGCTTCTGACTATTCCGCAATATAATATTCCACCACAAGTCAATCAGTATTAATTTTTTTATACATTATGTCTTGAAATGATTTTTAAACTATCACAGAAAATGCCCTGGGTCGCTGCACAGAGGTCTGAACATTGGGTCCAAAATTGTTGTAGCAGTTGGCGCTGCCGAGTGTGTGGAACTGGATGAAGCGTGTTAACCCACTGGGGAGCAAGCTCAGTTCTTTCCATCAACTTTGGGTTTTTTTCTTTTTGAGCTGGTTGGCCCGGTGTTCTTCCAGCAAACTTGCCATCTCGAACGCGGGTGCTTTTATGCACGTGCTTTCGAATACTGGTACAGCACAGTACATAATTCCACTTTCAGTGTTATCAGACGTGGATAGTGCAACCAGGGAGTGCTAGCCTAAAGGGAGTGCTGAAACCTGAAGGTTTTAGTACCGTCTCTGGCACAACACGTTGGAACTCTCTACCTGCTGACATTCGCCTATGCACATCTGTTTCTCGCTTCCGTAACCTTGAATTGGCACATTAATTTTACGGTATCCTGTAACTGTAAGTGTAAGAAGGCTTAGGCTGAGCTGAGGCCTGTGGGGATTGCCCTATAAATAATAATACCGGTAATAATAAACACAGGATCACACGGGCACTTGTGAAAAGTCTACCATTACAATGTGTGTAGTACACATGACACATGGATTGGTCTACGAACGACGAGTAGTGAGTGCGTTCGATTACACGCGCGAATCGATTCACGAATCGATTCATGAATCGATTCGCGCTATTCACATCACCCCATGTGAATAGAGGGAATGGATTCCGAATCGATTCCAGGGCTCATGACATGAAATCGAACGACTTGAATGCATGCGAATGGATTCATGAATCGATTCAAGTGTGTAATCGAACGCACTCACTCTACCAGGCCAGGTAGTACAAGTCTACTTAGTAGACCCAGGTGCTCGAAGTCCGTACACTTTTACAGTGTGTGTTTGCCGAGCTGAAACTCACACTAGCAATGATCACTTGCCAGAATCCTGCTCGTGGATGGAAGGTATCTTGTCCAAGTTTGTTCTGAGGCCAGGCTCGATTGAACCAGGCCATCTTTCGATCCGATCTGTTTCTCTGGAGTTCGCTAATTTTTCATATCAAATTTTGGTGTCGCAGAGGGTACTCTAATAAGTCCGTACTGATCAGAGGTGACTCGAAATACACACATATTTCTGCTAATTGCTTACTTGCAATCCCTCGGTTACGACGAAAGCACCGAAGGGATATGTTTGGCATGTGCCTCCACCAGTATTTCTTGCAAAAGCGTAGTTTGTTGCCGAAATGCAAGCTGTTTTTAGTCGGCTCAGAGAAGAAGCAGCTGCGCTGTGAAAACCGCGGGAAAACAGTGGTGGAGATGCCAGGAGTGTCAACCTTTCTGCAAGGATTGGTGGTTCTCTGTAAATAATAATTCTTCTCCTCTGGCCATTGTCAGCTCTAAGCTGGCTCTTGATGATCGAGTGAAGGTCTGTTTGACGCTGTGTCCGTTCGAAATCGGTCTTGGCAAAGTTGATTTTTGCATGAAATGTAACCCAATTTGTATTTCGTATGGCCACTCGAAAACCCACTCGCGTGGTATGGGACTTCTGCTTATCGTAGATCCCTGAAAATTGCTACGCGAGGAGAACATACCACACTGTCCCCTCCATAAAATATTTGAGTCGAATACAATAACAGAACATGAAATTATGGGCGTAGATCTACGAACTTAGGATACCATGTACGGACTTCGAGCATCTGGGTCTACCAAGGACAAGGTGTGAAAGTCTTTGCCATTATCACAACCCTCGGCCAGCCGAATCCCGCCAGTACCGGTACGCGGTACACATGGCACATGTATGTACTCCGCTCTATTGTATTACCGATACTTAGCGCTGGTTGTTTTCTGCGAGCCATTCTTTGACGACCCGGAAGCCTGGTCATGTCGGCATTCCTTGGGTCGTTTCTTCTCCAATGTCATTCGGCTACTGGTGCGTCTTGTCGTTTTGCCAAGATAAAAAAGATGCTTGTAGCTACATCAGGCTTTTGTCCAGAAAGTCCAGAGGGTCGTCGCTGTTGTAGGCACTTGTCAGCGGTACCTCAGGAAAAGCTGCATCGAGAGACCAGGAGACTGCTTCGACACAGCGATGAAGCATCGTTGCTATCAAAAAATGGTTGCCATTTCTACCCGCTGTTAGTAATGTACGGAACTATCCGCCCTCGTTCAATTCGGTCCGAAGAAGGACTTACCAATGGCAATATCATGACCGGCTTTTCTGTTCCGCGGTCGGTTCTGTGTTGGACTCGACGTGACGTCCGTATCCGTGGAAGCGAAGCTGGATACGAACGTGACCCGTTCATTGACCAATACGTGTGTTCCGCTCTTCAAGAAGACTTCATTCGCGGCTCGCAGGCGACTGTGTGAGTGTCGCCCTCCATCGCAGTACTGGTACCAGAACAGCTTCAAGCACGCTAGCGAGTGGCGTAGACCATGATACGGGCTGGCAGGTAAGCCGGTATTGTAGTTTTGTCATGTAGACCGTGGCTCTTAGCATTATTGCTGGCCCTTTGCTAAAATATGACAACAGTTTTTGCAACCGCGGCAAAACAAGCAAAAGTTGCTGAGGCCAAACTAAAAAAGGTGTGTGGTTCGACTAACATGGACATTTTTTTTACGGGCGGGCGGGCGGATTTTTTTTTAATATATTATTTTTTAGTACATGTAAATACACTGTACTGCCTTTAGACACCCAGTACATCGGCATTATTACGCAGTGTTATGCCATACTTGTTGTATAAAGGGATCACTGGCTAATACTTTGAAACATTGTGTGGCAGAAAACGAGGAAAGTGCAATCTCGTCTGTCCTTCATCCCAAAACAGAAGGCCGTCCTTAATCTGGAACGAGGCAATCACTCTCAACCGGACGGTCACTTCAAAATAAGTCTCGCCAGTCTGCCGGTGGTCGTATCGAGTAGACTCTACTACCAGCACAAGGCAGCAGTCGTACCACTCACTGCACTGCACTGCAGTACAACTACAAGTCAAGTCCAAAAGGAGCCGCCTGCGTCCGCAGACTCGCGCTGCACAGCACGTAGACGTGGACGTGTTCAGTCCACGTACGTCAGTCACACGACAGCCCGCCGAAAAAAAAGTTACGGTCGGGCTGAAAAATGTACGGTCGGTCGGGTGAGTCGAACCACAGACTTTTTTCAGTGTGGCCTGACCATTATTATTTTCGTAAAAGCTCAAGTGCTGCCCATAGTGTAACCTAGCTGCTTGCAAAGCCAGCACTGATTGCGAGTTCTTGCAGATACTCAGCAGAGAAACTTTCCATGCTTCAATGGCTTCGGTGAAGCCAATATAATAAAAAATAAAAAAGAGGAGCGAAATGGATACCATTGGTCGGTTTAGTTGCTCCTGCCGTGCCTCCACTGCTTCGGCCGCCATCACTAGGTGCCCCCTAGCACTTTCCTGCTGGTGTTCGCATGATGGTTTGTACCACACGGCTGTCAAGAAGCGGCAACTTAGAAAGATGGCGTCGGTTCGAGATGGCATGGTAACCGCGCACGTGCCGTGGTCCGTGACTTGCGCTTGTATGCACGCAAATGCAAGTCACAAACTGACAAAGATCGTCTTTGCATTTGGAGAAAATATCTTCGACTCTCTTTGGAGGTTGGCGAGGTTAGCCTAATCTTTACTTGATTGCGATGCCGGTATGTCCTCTCAATAATTAGAACAAAGAGAGCTGATGATCACTTCATTGCTGAGCAGAAGTAACAATCAACTCTCCTCATGTCCTCAGTGCCAAAGGCAGACGACTGCAATTCCACAACGCTCATTTCACGATGATGGAAACAATAATCGTGTACTAGTACACACTTGGACCATTTGGTCATCCCTATTCTAGCCGCTAGTCCGTCCAGCAAGCAGATATTGACTATTACGATAAGTACAACTGCGTGAACGAGGGCTCACCCAGCAAATTCAATTCAAGACGTGACTCCAGTCAAGAATTAGGGTCTTTACTCGAGAACTTCACAAATACAGGTCAAGGCACCCCACAAAACTGATAGATGGCACGAACGAAAGACAAATAGGGTAGACAAAGTGTCCCAAGTGATTGAAAACAGCAGATCTACCAAATAAGACAGCTACATGTGCCTAAACAACGATTCCCATACAGTAGAGAGTAGTATCAGGCAGAATGAAAGCCTTGGAAGTGCACAAATACAGCCACGACCGCCACAAAAATTGGACGACCGCCACAAAAAAATTCTCATTGCTCTACCTCCTTGAAGGGTGAAAGTTACCAGTTATCCTATAGCGATGTCAGTTTATGCCTGTTGGAACCCCCCACAGCCCGCACGAAATACATTTCAAATAATTCCAGGATGCAATTGCAGCTCCAGACAGGAGGAAGAAGAACACCGTGAAAAATAACGGCAACGATGCCCAAACTCTCGGGAAACAGCTGAAGTCTTCCTGAAGATGTTAACATTGAATAGCCATCGATTACCAGCGTGGTTTGGTGACTTTAGAACTGTTTTGAGACTTAGAACGAAGCGATATCTCAAATTTGATGGAATTGTTACCTGTCAAATGCGTGGGCGAGCAGGCCAGCTGACTGGTTATGCATGAACATGCATGAGCATGCATTGATTTTTCATGGTTCACGTGCAGAAAACTAAGTTGCCGCGATCCAAGTGCAGCTAACAGCCGTGACCAGTAGCTATCTTTAAAAAAAATAGTGTACATAATGAACACAGCACAGGATGACAACTATCTAAATGTTCCATTTCTTCTTCTAAAAAAAGGTTTGTCGTGGCGAGTATCTTTGGACAAGCGCTATAGTGCAGAACGTGTTTATTGGACGACGAGCGGTCTCCGTAGTGGATATTTTTTACAAGTAACCACATACCATTTTAAGGGGCAAAGTATGCATGATATCCGAGATTCACAGAGCGTATGGAGGAGGGAACAGGGAACAGGGTAAGAGCTTTGTTTTCCTTATAGTTTACAGCCTGAAAAAATATCGCCGCTAGGCCTGCATAAACGTGTATAAGCCGGTACATTGTAATTAGCATTGAGAGCACCCGTCAAAGTGCT